TTTTAGGTTTCAAAAGTAGGCAGTTCTGCACGTTTTTTTTTAAATATTCTCCGATTTCTCCGTCAAATGTGTACAGATTTTGATGATGATTTTTTTCGTATTAAATAGGTTGTTACTTTAGTGGTTGTCCCGTATAAAAATCCATCCCTAGGGGTGGCAAAATATGGGATAAAGTTTTTAATGTAACTATTTTAGACAATACTATAGTGAGATTGCGATAATCCTTAGTCCCCTCAAAATGTTTTTTTTTTAAATCGGGACTTTGATTCTTGTTTACAATATATTACATTAGCGGCGACTTCAAATTTTAAAATTATTTCTTTTTTTTTAGTACATTGAAGCCGACTTTTACTTCTTGATAAAAGTAAATGTTTTCAGACAAGCGGTTCTCTTCTATTCACGTTGATGTCCGCATGAATTGTACTTTTAATCAGCTTGCAATCGGCAACTGCATGCCGGCAAGTGCGACTGCGCGTGTGGCAGACGCTGCCTCTGTTTTCCTAATTTTATTACTAGACTGTCTGTGAAATTGTCGTCTAGTCTAGACATTCATGCCATTATCATACATGTTGTTAAAATAGTTTTTGAGGAATATATTTTTTGTTTCCTCCGAAGGCAATGACCGCTAAAATTTTAAAACAAAAAAAAAATAACTTCTCAACCGCCACTACACGGAGGTACTCCGTGTAGTGGCGGTTGAGAATATCCACTACCCCATATCTTCCCGTGGGTGTCGTAAGAGGCGACAGAGGGAGACAGGCAGGAGATGGGCAGCAGCATCTTCCTGATAACAACTGTGATAAAATAAAAAACTGCGGTTGCCAACCCGCTCGCCAAGCGTAGCAACTATGGCAAATATCCCCTCATGAATAATGACGCAAAAAAACGGCCCCCAGTCCCCGGCGGCCCCGCTATTCCTGGCTGCGGTGGCGACCATGGTAACGGCGGGGCAGGGGGTGCTAAGAATCTCCGGTGGAGGTTCGGTTGCCACCTACGAAGACTCGACCTGGCAACATATAACGCACGCACCCTGAGGACTGACGAGAAGATACTGGAGCTGGAAGAAGAGGTAGACAAGTTGCGCTGGCATATTATTGGATCATCCGAGGTCCGAAGAGAGGGGAGGACACGGCAATCCTCGAGTCCGGCAACTTGTTCTACCACCGGGAGGGCGACCATCTGTCCCAAGGAGGTGTCGGATTTATCTTCCACAAGTCTCTCGTTCAACAACGTTGTAAAGATTGGGAGTGTGTCGACGAGGGTCGCGTACCTGATACTCAGAATCACCAAACGGTATTCGCTGAAGGTCATACAGGTTTACGCACCAACCTCGGCACATCCCGATGAGGAGGTGGAGGAAATGTATGAGGATATTTCCAGAGCCATGCATTCCTCCAAAACCCACTACACGGTGTTGATGGGAGACTTCAACGCAAAACTAAGCACAAGAGAAAGCGGTGAGCTGAAGGTAGGGAAATTTGGAGTAGGGCAACGGAACCGAAGGGGCCAGCAGCTGGCCGACTTTATGGAGAAAGAGGGACTCTTTATGATGAAATCTTTCTTCCAGAAGCGGCCCCACAGGAAGTGGACCTGGTCGAGCCCCGACGGTTCGACAAAAAATGAGATTGACTTCATTATGACGACCAGACGCCAACTGTTCAGTGATGTCTCAGTGATCGCAAGGGTGAAAACTGGCAGCGATCACCGAATGGTTAGAGGCACACTGAACCTAAACGTTAAGTTGGAGAGGTCTCGTCTGATGAAGTCAACGCTCCGTCCCCCCTCGTGCTCTGATCCAGAATCCCGAAACCTTTCAGCTCGAGTTACAAAACCGCTTTCAGTGCCTAGAGGATTGCAATGCAGTGGACGATATGAATGACAAGCTCATGGAAACTGTCCATGCGGTCGGAGCTAAGTTCTGCAAGACCCGCCGCAGAAGAACACAAAAACTCTCCGATCACACTCTTAATCTCATGGCTGTTAGACGGGAGATGAGGCTGCAATCGTCAACAGATTTGACAGCATACAGGCAACTGAACAGACAGATCTCCAAATGCATGCGGCGAGACTTACGCAACTTTAATACTGCTCGTATTAAAGAAGCGATCGAGCAGAACCAGGGCTCCAAAGTCTTTGCCAGAGATCTGTCTGCCAGAAAGAGCCAACTGTCAAAGCTGAAGACTGAGTGTGGCAACATCGTTTCCGGGACACCTGAGATTCTGAGTGAGATTGAGAGATTCTATGGGCAGCTGTACACATCATCGTTGGAACCACACGTAAGTGTGAGTAACGATCCAAGAGCAAGTCTTATCCGACACTATTCCGATGATATCCCGGACGTCAGTCTGAGCGAGATTAGAATGGCTCTCCACCACCTTAAAAACGGCAAGGCCCCGGGCGAGGATGGAATTACAGCGGAGCTTCTGAAAGCGGGTGGAACACCGGTACTTGAAGTCCTTCAGAAGCTCTTCAATTCCGTCCCCCATGGTGGCACTACTCCGGAGGCGTGGAGCAGAAGCGCGGTGGTCTTGTTCTTTAAGAAAGGTGACAACGCTCTCTTGAAGAACTACAGACCGATTTCCCTTCTGAGCCGCGTCTACGTGCTGTTTTCGAGAGTCATTACGAATCGTCTCGCACGCAGACTCGACGACTTCCAGCCTCCCGAACAAGCCGGTTTCCGAAAAGGCTTCAGTACCATAGACCACATACATACCCTGCGGCAGATTGTACAGAAGACCGAAGAGTACAATCTGCCACTTTGCCTGGCATATGTGGACTATGAGAAAGCCTTTGATTCCGTCGAAATTTGAGCGGTGCTACAGTCCCTTCAGCGGTGCCAAGTTGACTGTTGGTATATCAAAGTGCTGAAGTGTTTGTACAGTAGGGCTACGATGGCTATCCGAGTACAGAACCGGAGTTCGAAACCTATCCAACTGCAGAGAGGTGTAAGACAGGGTGATGTTATATCCCCGAAACTCTTCACCGCTGCGTTGGAAGACGTTTTCAAGCTACTGGACTGGAAAGGATACGGTATTAACATCAATGGCGAGTACATCACTCACCTTCGATTTGCCCACGATATGGTCCTTATGGCAGAATCGCTGGAGGACCTTAGCACTATGCTCAATGACCTCAATGGTGTCTCCCGACGGATAGGTCTTAAGATGAACATGGACAAAACAAAGATCATGTTTAATGTCCATGTCACACCTATGCCGGTAGTTATTGGGAGCACTATGCTCGAAGTTGTTGACGAGTATGTTTACCTGGGACAATAGTCCGACTAGGTAAGTCCAACTTCGACCGAGAGGTCAATCGACGGATTCAACTCGGCTGGGCAGCGTTCGGGAAATTACGACACATCTTCTCGTCAGGTATATCTCAATCTCTGAAAACTAAAGTGTATAACCAGTGCGTGTTGCCAGTAATGACTTACGGATCAGAGACGTGGTCCTTCACTGCTGGCCGTATGAGGACGCTCTAGGTCGCTCAGCGAGCTATGGAGAGGGCTATGCTCGGAGTTTCACTGCGTGATAGACTCAGAAATGAGGATATCCGCAGTAAAACCAGAGTGACCGACATAGCCCAACGGATTAGTAAGCTGAAGTGGCAATGGGCCGGCCATATAGCTCGAAGAACCGATAACCGATGGGGAACAAAGGTTCTCGAGTGGCGGCCTCGTACCGGTAGGGCGACCCCCCACTAGATGGAGTGACGACCTGGTAAGACGTGCAGGAAGTCGATGGATGCAGGTGGCTCACGACCGTGCTTTGTGGCATTACTTGGGGGAGGCCTATGTTCAGCAGTGGACTTGTGAAGGGCTGTAATGATGATGATGATGATGCCTCACTCTTGTTTGTTCTGAAATCTCTTCCATACATGTTACAGCCTTACAAAAGTTCCCCTGCTGAACATTAACCTCCTCTATATGTCGCCACATAGGGGTAATTTTACCATATTTGCCACGATTGGAAGACGGCCTTCACCCGCAGCTTTTTTATAATATTTAGTCGTTATTAGGAAACGTTGCTGCCCATCTCCAGTATCAGTTTCCTGCTGTCGCCTCCGACAACACGCGCGGGATGCTCTGGGTTTGGGGTAAAGGATAAATATTCTTACGCCGTCACTACATAACGGAATTCTGAAATTTGTTTTTATTATGTTATTTATGTTTTGCTTCATGATATTTCATGTTAAAGATGATTGTTTAAAGTTTCGTATATATATAGAAGAGGAGGCAAACGTGCGGCTCACCTGATGGTAGATGTCGACCGCCGCCCACGACAACGGCCACACCAGGGAAATTGCGGGTGCGTGGCCGGCCTTTTATAATAAATGTATTTTATAAATAGCCGGTGGTAAATGGTTCCACAAACAAGTCGCACAAAGAAGAAAACTCTTTGTAAATCAAAGTAAATTGTCTGTACGCTTTGTATCATTAAAATGGTTACGTCGATAAGATTATATATAAAGCATCTCGTTTTTAGATTTCATTCACAGCACCCTGCAAGTATGTGACGAGTTCAAGCTCGATCCTCATTGCTTACACCACCGAAATTGTTAATTGCAATTTTACTTGCTTATCTATCGCGTGAACTTTTCTTTTGAGGAAATCTATTTGACTGAAAGATTTAAAATATTTGAAGACGTGAACACGTGACGGCCGCGGGATTGAATACCGCACGGAACAAGTATTTGTATGGCCTATAAAAAATTGTTCCGGGTCTAGATGTTTGTCCTTGTGAAATTGTAAACTGCCCCCAAAATACGGGAGAAAATCCTGATCTGGTTAGTTATTGTCACACCACCTTGAAAATGAAATCTTCAACGAAAGGACGTTTCACCCATTGTTGTATTGGGTTAAATTATAAAATAAATACACTGTGTTGTCTATGTAAACATGTGTGTGCTTTAAGAGTTGTACCATCCTTATCTGTCCATGATTTAAGCAAATAAATCTAATAAATAAATGAACATCAGATACTTTGTTACTGCATTAGAAGATCGTAATGTAGGTGGTACACCTCGTTTTCTGGCTAGAATTGGCGGTGACGAGGCCGACTTGCGTTCAAGGGATACCTTCTCCGAGCAATATAATATAGTTGGAGCGACTCGACGGCGGAGGGACTGTACTGACGGCAGGTATCGTGCCGCTAGCACGACCCCGTTCCCACGGCGCGGTGCAATTAAACGCCGCGGCGGCCCTATGCGCACTCTCGCCATTGTGCACGGACATTGCCTCTGACAACCTAAAACAGCTTCACCACTTCATCATTATCTCAATTCGTGTACTTCGTTAAAGAACCCGGAAGTATAACGATAATCGATTTGCGGCAGTGACACGAGCAATGTTCCGCTTGCCCAAGTGCGATCAACAATTTTGATTTGATTCTCATGGCCTTCGTGACGGCTAAGAAACTGTGGTCACGGTTGAACTCTTTTGGAAGTTTTAACCTTTCGGGATTTAAACCACTGCAATAGAAAATTTTGTGGCATTATCGAAGATGGATACAGAGGAATAGTCGCGCCGTTCGGAAGAGAATACTACACGTTCAATAACAATTTCAAATCCATCGGTTCATCCTAAAAGCGTTTTACTTTTAGTATGACTTGTGATATCTCAAAATCTTTCCGTAAACTTTTGACGAATTTGTAAAAAGCGCAGATTAAAACTGGTTTATTTGAAAAGCTCCAGTAAGCTTCCGTCGCCTATCCCCCGCCCAGCCGTCACTGACAACAGCTGATTGCTCTTGTCTCGGATCGGATGTTTGTTGTGATGCGCTGCGCTACTTTTGCTCTTGATGAAATTTTCCGTCATAACCTTGTTGCGTCGGCCTTACGTTTCGCTATATTTTTATATAGATTAAGAATAACAAACGAGCACACACTCCACCTAAAGTTAAGGTAAGCCGATGCTATAGCCCACAGACATCTAACTTTATCCTCTATTAAGAATTAAAATGCAGATGCGTTGTCACCCGTGAGGACTAAGATGGAATGCTTTGCTTCCAGTAAAAAGAATCTCCGGTTCTCTGCGGTCACTATACGAAACATCAGCATTAAGCTGTAAGTTAATTAATTTGTACTGCCTGTCTGTGTGATAAACGTGTGTTATTAAATCATATTGCTTACAAAAGTAAGTATTTCATATTTTGTGATTATGAAATCTATTTTGCTATATAATAGATTAAATTTTTACAACACGTAACACGTAATAATTAAGTGTTACGTTATGTTATTAGTTAGTGTGCGCACGTGGCTAGTTATTATTATCGTTATTTGCTAGAAATTTTTTAAGGAAATCAATAGGACGCTCGAATAAAGTCACGTCAGTTCGTCAGTCGTGTAAGTGGAGTGGGGTGGGGGTGGGGGCAGCGATGGAAGCAGCGAACGCGGTTAGTGTTAGTCCCGCGCAGACTGCGGCCCGAGCAGCAAGTACCGCGATGCTCGTTGTGCTGGAGGCACTCGCGTTTGACGTGCATGTTGCTCTCGCGGGCGGATAGTGTAGTGAGGTGTCGAGGTGGCATGTGAGTGATGCTGCGCTCAGCAGCCACGGGCGGCACGGTGGGCCTGCCACCGCCGCCGCACGCGCGCCTCTCGCTTTTCGATTCCTGCCATCGCAAGATCCGGCTCATCGGCGGCGGACCAGTCGCCTTCCTCGGAGGACTAGTTGCGTGAGTGTCGCCATCACTATGGCCCTTGTGTGCTACATTTCACTTGAAAAAAAAAGTGTATTCAAACCTAAATTTGGTTTGCTTCGTTTATTTACGGGGATTTTAACGAGGCGGTCATGTTGACAAAGCTATAAAATTGCTCGTGAAATGAGACGTTTCACGGCGTTGCATGGTACGTAATAGCCGAGCTGTAGACACGAAAGCGTAAATTGCCAAGTGCGGTGTACATTATGAACGGAACGGTGGTGGTGCAATTTCCCCTAACGGTAAAAGACAAAGCGCAAACCGCAAAACGGTTTCTGCGGCCCGTGACCGCTCCGATAGTGCGCCGCGCCGCTCTGCGGTACTTACATTGTGCTTCTAGACATGGACTACATTTATTGCAAACGACATAAACGTGGTAGAGCCATGCTGCAGTTATATTAGTAGTATAGTTGCAGCATGAATGGGTCGGTTCGACCGGGGAAGGACCATGCTCCTACAGAATACCAGCGTCAAATAGTAGCTTAATGCTGCTGTGTTTCGTATGGTGAGTGTAGAGAACCGGAAACCCTTTTTACTAGAAACGAGGCATTCCATCTTAGTCCTCGCGGGTGACAACGCATTTGCATTTTGATTCGTAATCGAGGATAGATGTAGATTTCTATGGGCCACAGCAACCACTTATCATCAGGTGGACTGTGTGCTCGTTTGTTACCCAATAAAAAATCTGAACTTATTACCAGACTACCCCAGAAGTAATGCTTTTCGAGAGCACGTATGTATGTCTAAACTGCTTGATGGATTTTAACATAATATGAGGTGTCGTTAGATTCTTCTTAATTATAGGAGTAACATAGGCTGTAATATAATATTTATATATTGCATCTACAAAAAAAAAGGAAAAGGGTTTTTAAAAATATACATAAATGTGTATCAAAATGAAAGCTAGTAGAGTCAATTCCAAATAGATAATAGATTTATGCTAACTTTTCAACACAAACTAAAACAAAGGACAGTAGTGTGATGACATCTAAAACTTTTCTCTTTCAGTAAACTTTTTGTTAACTTTTTGTAGTGTAAACGTCCGTGGTCTGTGTTTTTTTATTACTATTTTAACCTGTGGATTAGTCTTTTTATAAAATTTACGAGATATAAGTGTAGGGCTCAATTTTTCTTACAAGTTTGTCTGGATGAGTACTACCCTCTTATTCCCACCACAAAGTGGGTAGTTAGTAGTAGTACGGCACTCATGTTGTGGTTCGAGTATAGACTATAACGTCAGTTATTTAAAAGATCAAAACAAAACAAAAGTAGTTTTAATAAAAAATTGATGCAAACACCAGGAACAAACACAAGCCTGTGATACCAGTTTCTCGACTCCACAGAGTCGGAAATCATGAGGCAATGCATACGACATTACAACAAAGTCTTAGAAAATATAAAAGATCTCTTTTATTACAAAAGTATAAATATTGTATTAAACAAAAACTGTATAGTTATTAGACACAGCCTGTAAATACGTTCCCTTATTTCTGACAAGGTTAAGGGCAACCAAATTCATCCAAGTCCTTGGAGCTTATGACCCATGGTGGGTTATCAGCCTGTCATTTTTTTTTTTGTAAAACTTTATTAGTAGTTTCTCCTGTTTTATATATTTATTCTTCATTGTTACATAATACCTAACTAAAGTAGAAATGGCTGAGCTTGTTCTTTACCGGTCATCATAGGTTAATTTGTTTGAACGGAGATTCAGCTGTAACTGCACGCTTGGCAGACGAGTTGGCAACCGCACTATTTATTACTTTATGTTGTTATCAAGAAGATATACACATTTACTGTTTCCATTTCTCTGTCGCTCTTACGACACCCACGGGATGATATGTGGTAGTCATTAGTGTATTTAGGTTCAAAGCCGCCTTGGACTATTTTAGAGTAAATTGGACGCCCTACTGGCCTTGGCTATCGTAATTATACAATAAACATTGCATTTAGTTAAATAAAACATTTATTGCGGAGTTTATTTATTTTTAAGTTATAATTATAGATATAATTTAGTTTAAATTTTTTCTTCGGGACTAACCTAAATTAAAAAAGTGAAAAGAGTTACAGAAGGTAGTTAGAAAGATGTTAATAATAGATAGATCAATTTTAAAATTTAATAAACTAATTACTCTATTTTTAAATGAAACACTTTTTAATTTAATGATTTCTCATATTTACGCGAACACTACACGTTTAAATGAAACTAGTTTTACGGATTTTATTGCGTACCTATATTAACTTAGTACTCGGATGACCGAGCTTTGCTCGTTATTTTTTTAATTACGTTTAGATACAAATTACATGAATAATATTTTTTGATCTTGTTGACATAATAGAAAAAACTGAACTGGTTATTTGAATAAAAAATCATGACTGCAATTAATTTAATTTAAATTTTATATGTATATAAAAAAATTATATATATATAGGAATTCGTGACCATGGGTAGTGTAAAGTGCTTGAAACGTCGGGAATATAAAAAAAGTTAATATGCGCAATAAAATCTGTAAAAACTAGCTTTATTAAACCTTTTAATTTTTTGATATGGATATAAATTATTATTTTTGCCGCACCAAAAATTTTGCAGCCCTGCGCTATAGGCTAATTTGCCCTTACGTAAATACACTTGTGGGTAGTGTTGGATAATCTTAAGCCGCCGCTGCGCAGTGAACTTGATATCTGTCAGTATTCTCTGCACCCAAAATATTAACCCAAACCCTGACCTCTATATTATTAAAGCAGTAAAACTCATTTTTACACATATTATATTGCACATGAGCAACCCAGACCTGGAACAGTCAAATATAGGTTATTCAAATACTCGTTCATAGTAGGAATTGAATCCATGGAAGAACTGTAATTATTTGCCCATGGTGACCACGGTCTCTGCGAGTTATTGCGTGCGGAATAGTGACTACTGTGTCATAGTAGTTATATTAGTAGTATAGTTGTAGCACGAATGGGTCGGCTCGACCGGGGAATGGGGTGAGTTCCGGAGATCCTTTTTACTGGAAACTAGGCATTCCATCTTAGTCCTCACGGGTGACAAAGCATCTGAATTTTGATTCGTTATCGAGGATAGATGTAGATGTCTATGGGCCACAGCAACCACTTACCACCAGGTGGACTGTGTACTTGTTTGTTATCCTGTCCTATAAAAATAATAGTGGTTCCGTGTTTATGGATGCATTTTCCGGCACCAGTTAGTTAGAAGTGTACCTCTGGCAGAAAGAAGTAGCCATTTATTCAATTTTCCTAACGGTTAAGAATTTGTAAAGCTTCGCCGCGTTGATTACTTTATGTCCCGATCTCGTCGACGACTCAAACACTTGCCCGACTTAATCCGATGAGTATTGTTTTGTCTTTTTTTTTTCTATTTTAAGCCAACAGATATTTACTGTCCCAACTGTTGGTAAGTAGTGATGCAACCGAAGATGTAAAGCGCGCTGACTTAACAAATAACAAAGGCCTCTTCACTCTTGCCATGAAAGCACCCGCAATGTAATCGGACGGAAAAAAGATGCTGGCAACTTATTCTATTCTTTTGCTGTATGCGTGACGAACTATGTAGCAATCCTTATGTTTATCTATAAATTGGTTGACTCTAACACAAACATGTAAGTGTAGTTTATCTAGCGTAGGGGTGACGCCTACGACGTGCATCGCGAAACCATACTAAAAACAGAATAGTAGGATACTCCCGCGCCGTGCGAGACTTAAACGCCAGTATTGCAGGGTTGTCACTGTATTTTGTTTAACAGCTAAGTCTCATTTAGTTTTATAAGTAGTTATAATATTTACAACCATAATACATACGGATACGACGTACATGTGCATCATATTTGTTAATCATTTCTTTAGTTTCCTCTCAAAGAATCAATGTTTGTCAAAAAAAAAATCCAGCTTTACATTACAACAAATAACTAAAATACGAGTAAATTAACATTGAGCATATGGTGTCAGTTCAAATTAAAATTAATTTGATCTAATGTGATACGATAATAATTAATTTACTTATGAGGTATGTGTCTATGTATAGGTATAGTAATATAACCTATTAATAAATAGCTAATTTACTTAAACAAACGCATTTATTAATTTATTTCACAACAAGAAAAAATAAAATGAAAAAAGACTGTTAGCAATATTTATTAAAATTCAACATTGTCTCAAACAAAGGTGATTGCGGAGCGCGGCGATGTGCGTCCACAATTCGGTTGGATCTTCCCGACGCAATTGTCGTAGTGTGCAATGTGCATGCTGTGGCTCGTGCGTACGAGTCCGTATTGGCCCGTGACAGGCACGCATACTTGTTAGCGGCGTTCGATACATTTCTTAGAAGATAGCCTACTATTCTGTTTTTACTATGACGAACTCAAGCTTATCTTTATAACATGAGCTTTACTTTTAACAATAGTTTTAGTACTTGACCGAAGGTCGATTTCTGGTCGAAACCGAAGCTGATTAATCGGCTATTGCCACAACCTTTGGCCGCAGCCGAAGCCTTAAGAGGAGGGCTTAAAGACTAAGAAATTCAGTTCAAGATTGGCTAAAATTAATAATGCAGATTACTTTAAAACTTTGACATTAAAGGTTTATATTGATTGTTAAATATAAAAAGGTTCCATAAGTAGTAGTTGATCTAGAGATGATTAAAATTGCGTCGCCACGTCCATCGTCCACGATCTCGCTCATTCGTAATAGTCGTTCAATTTCGGCGCTTGTTTGGCCCGTCAGATACATACGAAATTCCGTTTTGGGGATTTCCGATTCGGGATTCCGAACGCAGCAAGTCCATATAAAATCAAGGACCTGTCACACACCTACATTAGTTTTCCGTTCGAAATTTTGCGGGCAAAACGGGATTCCGTATGCGTGTGGCCTACTCGTTATGTAGTATGCGGCGGGCCTTATTTCGGCTAAAATATTAGGAAGGT